ATCCTATTAAAGGAGTTAAATTGCTCAGAATGGGCTCAATCTTGTAATTGTCCTGCATCTGCCTCCCACAGTGCTGTGTCACCATGCTTAGCTTAAAACATTTATGTTTCTCTCATTTTTTGGTACCAGGGATCAAATTCATGACCTTACACTTAGCAGGCAGGTGCTTACGCCACTTAGCTATCTCCCCAGCCCCTAAATGCCTGTGTTTCAAAGGACATCATGGAGAAAATGAAACTGGGCTTGGTGGCTTGCACCTGTAACCTAAATTCCTTAGGAGCCTGAAATGGGAGGATTATTTAAGCCAGGAGTTCAACACCAACTTCTGCAATACAGCGAGATCCCTGTCCAAATACAACAGCAAAAAAGGCTGTAGCTCAGCGATAGTGTTTGCCTATCATGTATGACACCATGGATTCAATCCCTATCACTGCAAAACAAAGGAAAACAGAAAATACTATACAATCTTTTTTTAGAAGATATTTGGGATGTTTTGAAATATTTAATCTTATCAGCATTTTCTTATTTATAACTTTCTCCCCAATAGAAAGCAATCTTTCTCTGCTTTTGGCAGGGCCATAAGAAATTCTCTGACCTTGTCTGGTAACTGGTCTTTTTTTTTTTTTTGGTGGAACCAGGGATCAAACTCAGGACCTTGTGCTTGCCAGGTAAGCACTTATTCCACTGACCTATCTCCCTGATGATAACATATCTTAAGATCCTCCTCAGGGAGAGACTGGTGGAGCACATCTGTAATCCCAGCATTCAGGAGGCTTAAGCAAGAGGATCCTTGTGAGTTTGAGACTAGTCTGGGCTATAAGGTGAGTTCAAGGCCATCCTGAACTGTATAATGAGACCCTGTCTCAAAAAGACCAAAAAAAAAAAAAAAAAAAAAAAAAAAAAGACCAAAACCAAACCAACCAACCAAACAAACAAAAAAAACCCTCTTCTTCCCAGGCAGGTCTGTACCATACCCTGGAGGAAGGAATGCTACAGAGGCCAAGAATGTTAAGGGCCAGACCGGGCTGATTTGTCACCCAGTCTTATCAGCTATACCTATGCAATGAAGTCTGCCCAAGCCCCCTAAAGGTCAGAGTTTGGAGAACATCATGATAGCTGGACACCAGGAAAATCCTAAAAGTTGTGCATCTGGAAAGAACATGGAAGGTCTACACCACTTTCCATCAACCTAACCCTACAAATTGTAGGAGTCCCCTCCAGATTCTCATCGTGAGCCAAGAAGTCAATATTTGTAATCCCAAAGGTACTGGAATCCCACCAAGTTAATTCCAATCTATCACTCCCAGTGCAACCCACTGCGAAAATAAAGACACTAAAACATATTTATAATTATTGGGGAGTCAAAGGGCCCTAAGTCCAGCTATGAAGATGGCTTTCCAAAACAAAGAGGCTGACCCAGGGCTGCACCGGGTTTTATTCAGTAGAGGAGTGACTTAAGGAGGAATGACTGAGAATTGTGGAAAGTGATACTGTGAGCTGAGCTAGGTGGGTGGCCATGTGCAGAGAGGATATACAGAGAAAGTAATCTGTGTTATGCTGTTGAGATAGTATCTGATGTTTTGTTGTTTTGGGGTTTTTTGGTGGAAACGGGGATTGAACTCAGGTCCTTGTGCTTGCTAGGGAAGCGCTTATTTTACTAAGCCATCTCCCAGGCTCTGGTGCTTCAGTTCTGATGTAATCCTTCAAGCCCAAGAAGTCACAGCTTCTATCTTGAGGCTCAATCCTAGCTGGCAGTGCAGAGCATTGGCTCTTCATCCTATCTCTGCCCAGCTCACATTAAAGAGCAGCAGGCATAGGTTACCAGGGAAACACACACTTGCCACCTTCAAAGACTATCAACAGCACCTCAGCTAGACCAATGTACATTGCTTAAGGCCAATTGAAAAGATAAAGAGAAGTCCTAGCCATCTCTGTACATACCAATACAAGGAAATAGGGTCAGTTTCAATCAAAATCATATACATATACATACACATATATAAAGACAATAGCTCCTTTCAAGGAGAGCTGCTCAGGTGGTCCTCCACACAAATTTCATGTGGGTGCCCATGCTTATAATCACAGATACCATGTTCAGGAGGCTAAGATGGGAGGATTGTGAGTATGAGGTCAACAAGAACAATGTAGTAAACCCAGTTTGTTTTAAAAAACAAACCCAGACTAAGAGTGGTGGTACATACCTATAATCCCAGAAACTCGGAGGGTGAGGCAGGAGGATTTCTTAAAGGTCACCCTGGGCTACATAATGAATTTGAGGCCAACCTGGACTGCACAGAGAGATCTTATCTCAAAAAAGCCAAACCCAAATACAGCATAATAAACTAGTAAACATAAGTAAATGTTTCCTTGAGTTCTGAGCACCTCTCAAGCACACTGACCCTAAGGAGGAAGCTGTGGGAATATAGCTTATAGCCACCTTGTCAAAACAATGGGTAAAACCACCTGGGCTTGGAACTGATATTTGGTGTCAGGGAAAAGGGATCACTCTTGGGGACAAAGTCATAAATCTTTGGGATCTGAAACTCCCATCAAGTAACAGAACTGAATCAAATTCTACCTATGTCCCCTAAGAAATTGCTTGCTTGCTAATAGGAAGAAACTCCTAGCAATTTTTCCCCCCTGGTACTGAGGATTAAACTAAATCCCCAGCCCTTTTTTTTGAGACAGGGCCAGGAATCATATGCCTATATTCTTAGCACTCAGGAAGCTGAAGCAGGACAATCATGAGTTCAAAGGATATACATACACATATGTAAAATTTGAGATAGGGTTTGTCTAAGTGGCTATATTGCCTAGGTTGGGCTTGAATTTGCAGTATCAAGCCTCCTAAAATGCTAGGATCATAGATATGTGCCATCATCCCAGAGCTTTTGAGGTCACAGAAGTCTTCTATGTTGATGATATTTTACAAAACAAAAACAAGAAAAAAAACTCTTCCAAGAATCAATGAGTTAATGTGTAATGAACTCTGATGTCAAGTAAAAGGCTGCTGTAAGAAAGAAGTTATTGAGACCAGGGAGATGGCGCAGTAGAATAAGCACTTCCCTGGCAAGCACAAAGGTCTGAGTTCAATCCCTGGTTCTGCCCAAGAAGAAAAAGAAAAAAAGAAATGTTATGCTAATCCTGGTGGCACATATCTGTAATTCTAACACTTGGAAAACAAGGCAGAAAGATTGCCACAAGTTTGAGGCCACCTGGGCTACATGTTTGTTTGTGTTTTTGTAGAACCAGGGATTGAACTCAGGCCCTTGAGCTTGCCAGGGAAGCACTTATTCTACTGAGCCATCTCCCCGGCCCCAGCTACATGAGTTTGAAGTCAGCCTGAAATGCAGTGAGATTCTCTCTCAAAAAGGAACTTTTTTTGTTTTGTTTTGTGAGACAGGATCTCACTATATAGCCCCAGCTAGCCTCAAACTCAGTATCCCTGTACCTCAGCCTCCCAAGTGTTGGGACTACAGATGTGTGCCACCACACCTACTGTCCCACTTTTTCCTTTTTGGAAACAGGCCTCATTATGCAATTCAGGCTAGACTTGAGCTCACTCTGTAACCCAAGCTGGCCTCAAACTTACAATGATCCTCCTGTCTCAGCCTCCCAAGTGCTGGGATCACAGCTGTGGGCACCACACCCAACTATCCCCTTTTTTAAAAAAATGTATTTGGTACAAGGTTTCACTAGCAGCTCAGACTTGTAGTGATCCTCCTGTTTTCAGCCTCTCCAGGGCTGGGATACAAGGCCCTAGCAGCTCAGACTTGTAGTGATCCTCCTGTTTTCAGCCTCTCTAGTGCAGGGATACAAGGCCTGCACCACCATGCCCAGTCTTGGTGGTCAACTCACCATACCTGGGGGTGGGGGGCTGTGAGGCATGTGATGCAAGGGATTGAACCCGTTCCCTGCGCTTGCCTAAGCAGACACTTAGTCCACTGAGCTATCTTGGGCCCTTGTCCCATGGTTTTTTGTTTTTTTTTTAATTTTTTTTTTTTTTGTCCCATGGTTTTAACATCTATTCTTCTTTTAGCAATCCCATCTCTAGACCTGGGTACACTCAAATTGCAATCCTGACCTCTTTCTAGAGCCTCTTCCAACTCTTCTGTTGGACAACAAAAAAATTTTTGCCCTAGAAAGACCTTTGCTGGAGAGGTAACTCAATGTTAGAGGGCTTGCCTAGTATCAAGCCCCAGATTTAATCCCTAGTACAATACTCCAAAAAACAGAACAAGAATTTGATGCTCTGTGTGCCTTAATTGCTAAGACAGCAATTAAGACAGGAGGATCAGAGTCCCATCAGTGTAGTGAGACCCTGTAAACCCTGTACTAAATATATTTTAAAAAAGAACAAAAAAATGACACTTGAGTGTAGTGTGAACATAAGGCATAGGAGACATAAAAGCAGCATTATATTCATACAGCTTTTTTTTTTTTTTTGAGACAGGGTCTTGCCGTGCAATTCAGGCTGGCCTTGAGCTCACTTTGTAGCCCAGGCTGGTCTGGAACTCACAATGAGCCTTCTGCCTCAGCCTCCCAAGTGCTGGGATTATAGGCATAAGTCACCATGCCCAGCCTCATACAGTTTTGGTTTCAAGTCAACAATAATAAATAAGACAAGGTAAAATTCTCTGTAAGAGAATTGAGTAGGTCTGATAAAAGCAACACAGGTTGGGAAACTAGAGTAGCTTCCAAAGAAGTAAACAGTGAAGGGTGTTGTCTGTGTGCTTCATGATGCCCAGGCTTGTATTTTCAGTCCTCTCTGTTATCAGCCAAATAGTAAGAACTTGAAAAATGTTGAATGGCAAAGGAAAATGGCAGGTGGAATACAAACAGAGGCAGAGTTCAGGCAATTCCAAACCTGTGCCAAATGTTCTCAAGCAGAGCCAAGCCCGCCTATGATGAATGGTCCAATCTATGCTTACAGGAGGGGAAAGCGATACTCCCTAGTCCTTCTAGGACAAGTGGGTATTCCTCCACATCTCAGACATACATACTTGTATTATTATTTTATTCCATGTGGAGACCACCCCCTTTATCCATCAGTTGCAGCCATATCAGGAGAAATGATCAGGCTCCACTGTGATACTGAATTCTAAAATAATGAAGTCCCATAGACTGCAGCCCCTGACTGCAAGGCCATAAGAAGTATGTGGCTCAATCTCTTTTGCAGATCATGCAGTGCCTATATAGTCCAGGCTAGGCTCTTCTCCAGCTGTCCCTGTAGCCAGATGTCAGCATCCATAGCCTGGGCTACCTCTGTTGGGCTAGAACTAGTTTCTTGAACCAGGAGCTCACAGCACCATCCACTCGCATCACTAAAGCTATGCCCAGGAGAAGTCCCACGCTGCTCACAATGAAGCCTATGGCCTCAAAAATGAACCTGCAAGCAAAAGTGAAGTACCTTAGGGGACAGACAGCAGGCCTAGTGCCTTTTCTTATGGAAGCAAAACTGTCTCCACCCTGGATGTTGACAACTGCCTCCAAGCCTCTCCCTTCCAACCACCCCACTTCCCAAGGCAATCCACTCACTTGGGGGCAAACACCTTCCAGACCATGAGATGCCTGCGGAGGATGGAAGCTGCCAAGGCACAAGCCAGAATCTAAAGAGAAAGAGAGCTGTTACTTGGGAAGAGGAAGAATAAGCAGGGCAAAGGGAGAGGTAGTACAGGCCTCTGTGAAACGGAAGGAAGGAAGCTGAGGTATGTGAGTTTCAGATCAGCCTGAGCTACATAAACAAGTTCAAGTCCTGCCTGCAATACATAGAAGAGACCTGTCTCAAAAAAAATCCAAAAACCAAAAAACAGAACATATCCACAAACACACAAAGGTGGTGAAAGGGAGAAAAAAAATATATCACTAGAAAAAACTCTAGGGTAGGAGTTAGGAAGTCCACTTGTTTTCTTTCTTTCTTTTTTCTTTTTTAGGTAGGGTGTCACTATGAAGTTCAGGCTGACTTTGTACTCGCTATGTTGCCTAGGCTGGTCTCAAACTCGAGTCCTTCTGCCTCAGCCTCCCTAGTGCTGGGATTACAGATGTGCACCACTATGCCAGCTAAGAAGTCCAATTCTCATCTTGGCTCAGCAAGTCACTATTTATCTGTGATGCTAACACTCATACCTCCCAGAGTGAAGGAAGAAATTAGCTTATCTTCTGCCTCTGGAGGAAAGAACAAGGCTCTATGACCAGTTTCAAAAAGAATCCTGGCTACTACCTCAGTCTTTCCAGTTTCCAGTACATCCTTTTTTTTTTTTTTTTGGCAGAACCAGGGATTGAACTCAGGCCCTTGCGCTTGCCAGGGAAGGGCTTATTCCACCGAGCCATCTCCCCGGCCCCTCCAGTACATCCATTAATGAAGTAATCCTCACATGCAACTTGCAGAGCCCTTGTTGTAGCAAGGAAATGATCCAGGACTAGGAAAAGAAAATCAGGTTCATTTAAGGCCACTGAGCTTAGGAACCAACCTTTACTTGTCCCTACCTCCATCAAGGTTCTCAACCAGGGTTTATTTTTGTGACAGAATCTTCATGATATTGCCCCTGCTGGCCTCAAATTAAGGATCCTCCTGCCTCAGCTTTCCAAGTACCTGGAATTACAGGTGTGCCCCACTGTGCCAAGCTTGCCTAGAGCTCACAGAAAGTGAATAATCCCAGTATTTAAGAGACTGAAGAAGGAGGGCTGCTGAGTTTGAGGCCAGTAAGAACTACATAGCAAGATCATCAGAAGAAGAAAAAAAGAGGAAGATAAAGAGGAAGAGGAGGAAGAGGAAGAAAAAGAGGAGGAGGAGAAAGAGGAAGGAAGAGGAAGAAAAAGAAGACATGAAAGAGGAAGAAGAGGATGAAAATGAAGAAGAAGAGGAGGAGGAAGAGAAAGAGGAGGAAAAACTAAGGAGCCAGGCATGGCACATACCTGTAAACTCAGTACTCAGAAGGCTGAGGCAAAAGGACTGATCCATGTTTGAGGCTAGCCTGTGCTATATAGTAAATTCAAGGCCAGCCTAAACTACAAAGCAAAATCTTATCTCAAAAAAAAAAAAAAAAAAAAAAAAAAGAAAGAAAGAAAATTGGTGAGGTACACACACAAGAAAAGATCACTAGGTCCCTGACTTTACCCAACACCCACCTGAACTCCAAGGACAAAGAGGTACTTGAGGCCCAGCTGTAGGAGCGCTGCATTGAAGTGGTGAGGAGCATCCCGGAGCCGCATCTCCATCAGTGGCTCCTCGTCCTTTTCCTCCTCAGGCCTGAACCTGGCCTCAGCTCCAGCCCCTGGAGGCTTCCGCCTCTTCCTTGGCCTTTGGCTCTCACACAGAAAGGGCCAAAGCAGGAGCAGAGGGCAACCTACTGCCTCGGAGGAAGGCAAGGCTCGCATCAGCGCAGGACCAGGCCATCCTACTTCCTAATCCACCCAGTTGCTTCTGCTTTAATTCAGTTAAACCAAGGGATGCCAAGGACCTGATAAAACCACATTTTCCACCCAAATCCAGGGGTTTCCTTTTTTCTCATAAAATTAAACAATTAAAACAAGAGGGAAAGCAAGGAGTTACCTGCAAAAAGAAGGTGGGCAGCAAATGTGTTGGCTCCCACTAACAAAGCAGGGAGCCAAGTACAGGAGCCATGACCTTCTGGAAATCCCACAAAGGCTGCGTGCCAGTGGATAGCTGCAAAGACAGGCTGATGGCCTGTGGAGTAGAAGGTCTGGGTAGCCATGAGGGCCCAAGCTGAGACAGCCTGCCATGGGACAGCAAAAGGACCTGGAGGAAGACAGGCCTCTTTATAATCACGTCTTATTCCCTAATCAATACATTGCTGTCCCACAATTATATATTCCTACTACTTTAGCACTAATTCTCATACACACTCACATACACAACAGCCCCAACCTCCCTACAGACAAAATTCTGTTATTCTAATTCCCTCTGTGAGATATACATATATACATTCCATAATATAGCTATAATTTGCCACTTCTAATACTAGAAAATCAGAAAATGAGAATGCAGCATTTCCCAAAGAAATTACTATGTCCTAAAAGACACTTTTTCCTTCTCCATGAACTGTAAGAGCCAATGAGAGGGATTCGCGTGGCTATGGCAAACAATAGATCTTCCCAACTGTGGGGCGTGAGACCCTGTGTCACCAGGAGAAAAACAAGAGGGAAGACCTCCCTGAAAACAAAAAGGGTTGGACTCACATCATTCCTGCCCTTAATCAACCAGGGCTGAGAGAGGTATTTACCAGGGGTGGTGATGGGCATCCCTGCAGCAAGCAGATGCAGGAGAAGGAAGCTCTGCAGAAACAGAAGCAGGAACACAAGGCTGATGCGCTCCGCATGCAATAGCAGAAGTGGGAAGGCCAACAGGGTGAGGACTGTAACCATAGCGGCCGAGTAGACGCTTCCCAACTGATAGGCAGCCACAGTCAAGGGACCCTGAGATTTTGTCCTTTCTAACCTTCCCCGGAACGCCTCTTGCATGTGTCGGTAGATTTGAGGGACCACATAATCCAAGTCAGCCTGAGAAGTAGGGGGGCCTGAGAAGGGAGTGAGGACAGTCCTGGTCCTTGAGGTACCTGTACCAGCCTTCACCAGCACTGTTACAGGCTTCCAGAGCAGCAGCATGAGGCCTGCAGCAGCCAGCCCTACCACAGCTCGAGGAAGCACAAGTGATGCTCCAGCAACCAGGGCCCGGAGACGTGGAGGTGCTTCTTCTGCCCCTGATACCAATGCCCAGTAGAAAGCAGTACCTAATGCCATTAGAGGCAGTCCCCAGCGCACAAAAAGCACAGGGGCCTCCGGGCTCTTGAGATTACCATAGTGGTGAAGCCACAGGCGCACAGCAACTAACAGGGCCACCAATGCCCCCACACAAGCTCCGTACCACAAATTCTTAGCTGGACCACCCACCATGGATGCCAGAGGACTCAGCCAGGGAGAGGAGTGGCAAGCAGGTGTCTCTTCAGGGCAGCGATGAAAAAGGCCAGCTAGCCTTGTACATAAAAGCAACCCAACACCAAGCCTCAGGGCATATGCACCACTGTGCCGTGGGGGGCCTGTTGGGGTAGAAGAGCCAAGGCGGGGTACTGTGAGCAGCTTAGGTGCCAGCAGCTGGCCCTCCCAGTGTAGCTGGACAACAAGAAGCATGATGAGTGAGCCTAAAAGGAAGGGGGTGGCCCTAGCCTCAGCTACAACAAAACTATCAGAGAAGAAGGTAGCCAGGCGAATGAGCAAAAGTAATAGGACAGGCCCAGGGATGGGAAGCAGGGTTGCCAGGAACTTCTTAGACCTCCAGCTACCCCAGGCTTTCCACAGAAAAGGCAGAAGTGAACCTGCTGCAGCCACAGCCCCTAGAACCACTAGATCCAGCTTCAGCCTAGTAGTTGTCAATAGTCCAACATACAGAGTTGCCCCAGCAAGGGCCCAGGCCACAGGTATTAGCAGTAGATGGTAGAAAGGGAAGGCTGGGGAAGTTGCCCACTGGGATGCAAACAGGCAGAGAAAGCATGTAGCAGCCAAGATAGCAGCACCCCCTGCCATGCGGACCAGAGAGAAACGGGCCCAAGACTCGATGCATATGGCCCGAGCTCCCCGCAGGAACTGCTGCAGCTCAGTAACCACAGTCTGCAGTTTTGCCTCAGTCCCACGTGGGCTCTGCAGAAGCCGCTGGTAGTCAGCAGAAGCCTTGGAGAAGAGGTTCTGCAGCCGATGAAGCTTCTTCACTTGGAGGTCCTGAGTAACAGCTGAATAGGCATGAAGAAATCGGGACACCTGACAGAAAATGTGAGGCCAAGGAGAAGAGATCAGACACATAAATCTGCAGAGGCAAGGATAGGTATTATCAAATGGAATACCTGGAAATCAGAGACCCAAATTATTCAATAAGAAATAGATAACGAAAGGGGAACACGACTATGGAAGTTTAGATGGGGACTGGACAAAGGATAGCGAAGCAGTCATTCTGCTTCTCTCATATTCATCCTAGTGTTTTGTTTTGAGACAGGGTCTCGTTATGTAATTCAGGCTGGCCTCAAATTCACTGCAGTCCTCCTGCCTGAGCTTCATAAAAGCTAAGACTATGGATGTGTGTCACTACACCCAGCTACTCCATCCTAGCTTTATCCCTTGGAAGCCTAGCCCTTTACCCACCTGCTGGGCGTTGAGATGGAGAGCCGAGGCCTGGGCTAGCGCAGAGGAGTCAGGCTGGGAGACCTTGTCCCCTGAGAATACTTCAGCAATCACCTCCCCAATGTTCCCAAATGGAATGGGGAGGCCTAGCAGCAAGGCCAGTGTGGGCACAAGACTGATTTGAGGAATCACCTCTGGCTCCTAGAGGGAAAGGACAGGAGTCACTGGATTCATCACAAACTGCTGCCACTGTTTGAGATGGCAGACTTGAGGACCTATTTACGAAATGTGTGGAGGATACCCAGGATTAGGGATTTGGGAGCCTAAAATAGATCCATAAAGACAATGTGATCATGATGTGGGCTGAATATTAGGAGACAAGATGAGCCACATCCCAGGCCTCACCTCTGGTGGAGTACTGGCGAAGAGGGCGGTAGGGCTGTATAGAAAAAGTGCAGCGGAAACCTCCAACTCACTGTCCCCTCCGTGGTCCCCATTCATGGTCATTCCATGGTCCCCAGCCACTACCAGCAGTGTGTCATTTTTCAGACGCTCCACAAGTCCCCTGGAGGCCAAGAAATACGTTAGAGTAGGGCTAAAGATTATGCTCAGGGACCCATTTGCCCCCCATATATGACTTCCATTAGCAGGACCTAGACCAGGCAAAGAGATATCTATTTGGTCATAACTCTGTTGCCCAAAGCCAGAGAGATTTATTCAAGACAGATGAGTCCCCTACCTACAAAAAAGCCTGAAAGAGACAAAATTCAACCAAGAAAGAGGCTTCAAATAACAACTTTTCCTCCTTAGGCAACATGTCCTGAGATTCGCAGACACAAACCCACTTCCCCAGCCAATACCCCACACTCACTGGATCACCTGGTCCATCTGGCTAAGTTTCTTGGCCATTTCAGGGTGGTGAGGGCCATGCTTGTGGCCACAATGATCCACACCCAGGAAGTGAGCAATCAGCACGTCCCATTCACCACTGTCCACTGTGAAGGGGAGAACACTGAGCATGGGGGACTAAGGCCCACTCCTCAACCCCAGCTAGGCTTGGACATTCTTCTATTCCAGGGACACAAGCCCAGGCTGTTGCACCCATGAAAAGCTCAGAACCTGTAGACCAAAGCAGCTTTTCCCAGTTCCCAGTCTCAGGGGAGTTAAGTATTTGGGCCCATGCTCACTGGTGGGATACAGGTGTTCCAGGATGCCATTGTCCACTGTGTGTAGGTCTTTCACATTGAAGGATGAGAAGAAAAAAGCTTTGGAAAAAGCTCCAGGGAAAAGGTCTTTCCAAGTGTCATCTCCCATGAAGACTATACGCCTTCCTACAGGGATACAAGAGGTAGTCAAGAGCCTGAGGAGTCAGGGCAGGTAAGAACAGGAGACTAAAAGATCCACCAGAAATCCCAACTATGCACAGCTATTCCATATAGCAACTCCTTAGCCTTCAAGGCTGAAAACTTCCCACCAGGAAGCTTTCTCTGATAACTACATCTCACTAGACCTCTAATTTCTGTTCCACAAAATCATCAGCTAGTTATCAGTCACTGGGTATCTCTGCTTACCTGTTTTTACTGGGGATATCTTGCTCTTCCCAAGTCAGTCAACCCTCTTCTCTATATCAGTGAACCAAGCTCCCTATCCTCTCATTTCTCCCCACCCCTAATCCAACATTTCAAGCACATCAGAAGCTTTACCTAAGACAAAGCTCTGTGTCCCCCTAACTGAGGTCCTTACACACAAAGTTCTGGTCTATTTCCTTCTCCGTCCCATCACACTATAGCCAAGCATACAGCCAGGCACTCAAAGTTCTGGTTCCTTGGCTTTTTAGGAAGAAATCTGTTCTAGTACCCCTCTCTTCCAAAGGGGTCCATACTGACCTGCACTGTTGAGCTGTTTAATGAGATTGTCTTCTAGTATGGCGTGACTGGCAAAGTTACTGCCAGCATCAATAAAGGTAGGAAGTGAGCCAGTGGTAAGGGCCTTGAGGCGCTGCATGGTAGTGGTGGGGGGATCAACTTGAGATCGATAGAGCCGGGTGTGGTAGGGCTGAATCTCCAGAAGCCTCTGCAAGGAGCCTAGTTTGCCCAGAAAAGGCAGAGAAACAGGAGGTTCCCCAGACATGTGTGACCGCTGGGGCTGGGCAAAGTCAAATCGCAGAGCATCTATCAGTACCAGCACAACTCTGGAGAACCGGGAGGCCATCCAGCAGGCCCCAGGCTTCCCTTGGCTCCCCCATGGCAGGAACCCAGGACCTGGGGGTTCTTGGCAGCTGCTGTGGTTGGTGAGCTCCAAACGGGTGAGAAGGAAGCCACTGGTGAAAAGGGTGATGCCAGCATAGAAGAGGAAACAGACCCAGGCCAGGAAGAGCAATACTGAGACCTTCTGCATCCTGTGAGGCAGGAGAAGGAATTCATCACTGTGGGTTGAAGATCCAGTCAATATTGTGGTTCCTCAGCAATAGAGCTGGACTCACATCCTCTTAGAAGCCTTTCTGGACACAGAGAGCCCAATAGCCAACCCATTCCCATGTTCCCTTTCACTAGTTATGTCAGTGTTTTTGAAGGTTCCCAAGACTATGGGCAGACACTAATAACTTTTAAAAAATTCAATGTAGCACTCATACCTACAAGCAAAATTGAACATCTCCTACACAAAACTAAATAAAACAATTCACATGCTTGGGGAAAAAAGTTATTTCTACCCAGCAATGAGGAGGCTTAGGCAGAAAGCTTGCTCCAAGTTCGAGGACAGCCTGAACTAAATAGTGAAACCCGGTCTCAAACAAACAAGCTATTTCCGGAGTACACCCTACATCTACTGAATCAGTATCTTTAGATGGGGCATAGGAATAGGAATATGTACAACTAGGGGATCCTAAGGCTGGAAATGCATAGCCTTTGGAGGAAAACTTATTCCGAGTGGTAACCCGCTCTCTGTATCCACACACCTGAGGTTGGAAGAGCTCACAGCTGTAGGGAAATATGAAGACAAGGAGGGCACGGGGCAATGGGGAGGAGCCATGCTCTGCTTCCGGGAGGCCAGGATAGCCAAAAGACCCGAGGCACAATCTCATGAAGCCAGTCTGATCACCTCCTGCCCCCATCTCCTGCTGGTTAGGCCTTGCAGGGACCCAGGCGTCCAAGCAGCTCTGCCTCTTTCACTGGCTCCCGGCCTCCGCGTGGGCATTCTGTCCCCGGCAAGCAGAGGCCTCGGGCAGAAGGGTGCTCTTAGCTTGGGTCTAGGACAGTGACGGTTCTAGGGAGACACTGGCTCACCTGGTTCGCCGCCCGGAAGTGCGGCGGTGGCTTAGCGTGGCCTGAGACCACAGAGATGCGCGCACCAAATAGAGTGTCTCATAGGGAGTGCTATCGCCACCTGGCGGCGCCTGCATGGAAGTCCTCAAGCAATGTAAAGCCGGCAAGTTTTAAGTATGTTCTGTGCTCTTGGAATTGGACTAAACTAGTGCGTTCAGCGAACTACTATCTCCGCTTGGTTAGGACTATGAGCATGCCCCCTGGAGTCAAACCAGGCTTGAACTCTAACTCTTTCATTTATTGTGAGTACTGAACATTATCATCTGTAAAATAGAGATAAATAATATTTATTTTCCACTTTTTGTTTAGCTGACTTCAACTGATGGATTTCATTATTTTTGTCTTCAAAACCTTGTGCTGACTCTTTCAATACAATTTTAAAAAATTAATTCAGTTTTTAAATTAGCAAAGGATCTCACTAGCCATTCTTCTAAGAAAAATACAAATAGCCTGTAATTATATGGAAAGATGCTCAACATCATTTGCAATCAAGAATATACCGGAGGGGGCCAGGGATATAGCTCAGCAGGCATAAATACCTGCCTGGCAAGCACAGATTTTGAGTTCCATCTCTGGTACCAAAAAAAGAAAAGGAAATACTGGAGATAACCATTCAAACTCAACCAGACAGCTGGGAAAATAGCTCAGCAGTGTAAGCATCTGCCTGGCAAACATAAGGTCCTGAGTTTGGTCCCTAATATGAGGGGGAAAAAAACTCAACTAGATTTAGAGTAGCTTTAATTTAGGAGAAGGAGAAGGAGAAGGAGAAGGAGAAGGAGAAGGAGAAGGAGAAGGAGAAGGAGAAGAAGGCTGGAAGTGTAACTCAGTGTAACCTTGCTTAGCATATGCAATGCCCTGGGTTGGATCCTAAGCAAAAGCAAAAGCAACCAACAACAACAACAACAAAAAAAAAAACCCTAATAGCAAGAATGTTAAAATTGGAATCTTTATACACCACTGATGGCATTGTAAAATGGTGCAGCAACTTTGGAAAACAGAACAATAGCTCCCCAAAAGATTAAACAGAGCCAAGGTGTGGTGATGCACTGTTTCAGTTACTTTTGACTCCTTGCTGGGACAAAATACTTGACACACAAAATTAAGGAAGGAAAGGTTTATTTAGCTCAGTTTGTGGAGGTTTCAATCTACACTCAGCTGGCTCCCAGGCAGAGTGGCACATGGCAGAGGGCAGCAGTTCATGGCAGCAGAAAACAGCCAAGAGCAAAGGGAAGCGCAGCAGCTAGGGCTTCTAGCCAGCCTCTCTCCCTTCATGCTATAAACAAGCTACCCTGGGGCTGGGGGTTTAGAACTCACACAATGTCCCTCTTACACAGGATGAGGATGTTTACAAACTAAAAATTCTGGTTCTCTGCTCTGAGTCTCTTAACTTCTAAACTTCTCATGTACTAGTTGACACAATGTATCAACCAGTACATACCCTTTTATAAACTCTGTTCTCAGAGACTGAGGCAGGGAGTCAAAAGTTTGAGCCCAGCCTGAACAATTTAATGACAGCCTGTCTCAAAATAAATAAGGGCTGTAGATACAGCTGGACATTCCCTAGATTCACTCCTCAGTACAAAAAAGTAGAAAGATAACAAGGTTAAGGTTATCACATGATCCCAAAATTTCACTATTTCACTCCTAGATACCTAGTAGAAATGAAGACATGTATCTAAGCAAAAACTTACACATGAATGTTAATAGTAGCAATTATGTATAATCATCAAAAGACAGAAACTCAAATGTCTGTAATTAACGAATCCATAAACAAAGGATGGTATGCCCAATGAATTATTGGTGAGGGGGAAACCTAAAACAGTGGTGATCACAGAACTGTGACTATTCTAAAAAACTACTGAATTTAAGTTTACATTTTACCTTCTTTGACTTTTTGAGACAGAGTCTCATTAGGCAATTCAGGCTGACCTTGAGCTCACTTTGTAGCCCAAGCTGGTTTCAAATTCACAATACTCCTGCCTCAGCCTCTTGAGTGCTAGAATTCTAGGCTAAATTTACATTTTAAATGGGTACATTGTATGGCATGTGATTTTTTTTTTTTTTTTTTTTTTTTTTTTTTTTGGTACTGGGGATCGAACTCAGGTCCTTGAGCTTGCCAGGCAGATGCTTAGACCACAGAGCTATCTCCCCAGTCTTGTTATGTGAATTACATGTCAATAAAGCTACCATTAAAAAATGACTGGAAAAAAAAATAATGACTGGGAGGGAATATAGCTCAGTAGCACAGCACTTACCTGGCAAGTACAAGATCCTGAGTTCAATTCCAGGTACCAAAAAAATAAAACGTCTTCTTTGGTTTCTTTTTTTTTTAACATTTATTTAGTGTGTGTGTGTGTGTGTGTGTGTGTGTGTGTGTTTGGCCAGCTCAGCCCACCAGGGGGCGCGGCTGGCTGGCATGTGATGCTGGAGGATCGAACCGCAGTCCCTGTGCTTTGCCAAGCTTGTTCCAAGTAGGTGCTTTAGACCACTGAGCCATCTCTCCAGCCCCTCTTCTTTGGTTTCTTACTTAAGCAAAAGTCTGCAGTTGCTTGTCTATCCTCTTGGCCCCCTTTTCCCTATTTATCTAGCTATCAAAGTCTTTGCTTAACTCTGTTCTGTCCAGAGCAGTTTGTTTTTGTTTAGGAGACAAGGTCTCACTCTGCATGTAATTCAGGTTGGCTGCAATCTTCCAGCCTGACTCCCTACTGCTGAGATTACGTGTGTGCACCAACACACCCTGTTTTCTTTGTTCTTGCAGTTATCAGACAGGGATGCTCCATCTCAGGGCCTTTGCATTTCTAATCTCTTCCTCTGTCGGCTTAACTCTCAGATGCCCAACTGGTCTCTCTCTCCTTCATACCTAAGCTAAAATGTAACATCAGTAAGTCATTCAGCAAACCTCTACTTATTATCACATCCCCTCCATCTGAGAACATAAGACTTTCCACCACTGCTTGTCTTTCCTGCCTGACCTTCTAATTTGTGAAAGCAGGAACCTCTGGGTCCCAGTTGTTAAGTAGTGCCTAGTAGTGAGCTTGGCCCATAATGGATATCATGTTTTATGGTTTTTTTTTTTTTTTTTTTTTGAGACAGGGTCTCACTATGTAGTTTAGGATGGCCTTGAACACAGGGTAATCCTCCATGCTGGAATTACAACTAATCACTACCATGCTCAACATTAACAAATTTGAATGGAGAAGGGCCCTGAAAAGACCCTTTACATACTCAGGAATATAATCTTGCCAGGACCATCCTTTTTCTTATGTAAAATCCCCCAAACACTTGCCTCAAACACACAGCCCTAAACATGTGGCAGGAGGGGGACTCCAGTTGGCAGCTCACTAAAGATAGTTTTATCCTTCCACACTATTCCCATTTCTTTCTCTGTCTTTTTGACAAGTGTCTTTTTAAAAAAATTGTTGTATTTTAGGGAAGGGTCTACAGGGTATTCAGGGTCTCACTACTAGATTGGACTTGTGGGATCCACCTGTTTACAGCCTCCCAAGAGTTGGGATTACAGGCGTGCACCACCACGCCCAGTCTCAATTGCCACCTCAGCATGGGCAGCACAGCAAGCCTGGGGATCGAACCCCTGGCCCCTGTGCCTGCTTGTAGAGGCTTTAATCCGCTGAGCTATTCAGCCAGCCCTTTTCTTGTCTTCTTGAGACATGGTCCCACTGTGCAGTTCAGGCTGGCCTGGAACTCATAATGATCCTTTGCCTCAGCCTGCTGAGTGCTGGGACTACAGGTGTGCACCACCATGCCCAGCTTTTCATTTCTTTTGACAGAAAGGATGGTTTTACTTTTCATGAAGTTCATTCTTGCTCATGAAGGCCTCAGCACCCAAGAATTGACAGGACTACAGGACAATAGAAGCAAATATCCAAGAAATGACTTCCCCAACTTTACTCTCCAATCAAAGAGGACAGTTTCTGGTTTGCCACTAGTGAGTTTATTACATGATTAAGAAGTTCAAATAAAAAAATAAAAACTAAAATCTTTGTAGGGAAGCTAGAGCCAGAATCTGGGTGTGCTGCTTCCCTGACCCCAGATTCCCTGGCCAAGTCCAGCTTCCCTAACCAAGCTTGACTCGATCAATCTCCTCTTCAAGATTTGCATTTGTGCCTTTGACATCTCTGCTGCTCCTGCTGGAGAGTGAGCTCTGTGCCTGTGGCACCGGGGCTTTGGTGAGGGCCCCATACACACCCATGGCCTAAGGAGAAGAACAGACAGAAAGCCATGAGGATACTGGGAGAAGGGACAGCCCAACCTACCAATGGCTAAAAGGACGAATGTGTGCCTGGGGCTAGAGCTTGGGTTTTTTTTCTCCCTTAAGCCTTAGTCTTAAAAGTGCTCCAGAAATCTTATATAGCAGGGTGACCCTCAGAACACTAACACAGGTATCTACAGAATGAAGGCAGCTCAAAAGCTTCCTTATCTTCCAGGATGCAGAAGAGTTTTTCTCAGAGATTCTGTTTCTATAAGGAATAAATGGAGGTGGAGATCAAAGCACCTTAAGACTTCTATGGCCCATAAGTGGTCATGGGGGTGGTAGGGTTTCAGCCCTCTGCACTGATGCTCTGTGCTGGGTCCTCAAAGAGCTCTAACCTGAGCCACCATACTGGTAACATCACCAGGATTGGAAGGCAATAGGACTGTGTTGGAGTCCTTGGCCAGTTTTGAGAATGCGCTGACATACTGCTCAGCCACAGTCAGTGAAGCTGCTGCATCTCCATTCTGTGGCCACAAAGAGATAAAATCAAGACATCAAAGACTTGGAAAAGAAGGGAGGTGGAAAAAGGAATTAAGGTTCCTAGAAAGGAAGTAGCAGGTCATAATACAAGTACATGCAATCTGCCTCAATGGAGCCCACAATGTTAGGAACATCCCCCAAGGTTGGATGAGAAAACCCCCTTCACTGTCAATTCCTGTGTCCTACTCCCACCTAGGA